CGATACTTTACAGAAATCGTTAACAATATGTATACCCAATTCTATGCTATTTTCGCATCCAACAAACAAAACTGTGTCATCCGCAAGTTGGGCGATTCAAATTTCTTCAGTGCTATCCAGAGTGGGTACAGTTATCTCCTTGTAATGAATATCATTTCTTACATTAATGGCCATAATTTCAGCAATAAGAATAAATAGTAATGCAGACAGTGGACAACCCTGTCTTATTCCACATTGCATTTTGAAGCTCTCTGATATCCAACCGTTATTGATAATAATACACTCAGTTATATATTGTATTGACCCATTTACAAAAGGAGTCGCCAAAATTGAATTTTTTCAGTACTCTGAATATAAAATTCCTATTCACCGAGTCAAAGGCCTTTCTAAAGTCAAGAGCTAAAATTGCACCTTCTAATTCTTCTTCTTCAGTATAATGAAGAATATCATTAATTAGACGAACGTATTCTCCTGCAAAACGCCCTTTAATATAACCTTTTTGGTCATTGTCTATTAATTTTGCAATTACTTTATGAAGTCTAGAGCTTAAGATTTGTGTTAGGATTTTGTAATCTGTATTTAGTAATGTTATAGGCCTCCAATTTTCTAATAACTGCTTATCATATTATTATAAATGAGCAAATTTTATTTAAAAGGTATTTGAGATATACAAATATTCAGATAAGCATGAACATTTATCTTAAAATATTCAATGTAAAAATGTCAAACAAATCATTTAAAATTGCATTGCACTTAAAATATATAAAACCAGATTAATTATAATTATTAAAAAGAATGAGGTGAAAAATTTAAAATTTAATTTAATAATTAAGAGTTATTCAGATTACAAAGAAAATATTTGTAACTAGTAATAAGGAGAGAATTTCGGAGGTCAGCAGGTAATGTCTCCCATAATCTAGGAAATGAATTAAAAATTGAGTATTTAAAAGCATTTGTCCTGGCAAAGGAATGAGAAAATTTAAGATTGTCTGTATGCCACGCATAAATAGAAATATTAAATATATAAGATGTCAAGGTGATATAAACAAAATAGGCACTTGCAAACAAAGGAGATTGACATCATATCAAATTTATCTTTAATTGAAATCAAATTAAGTTTAGTTAGCCTATCTTCATAAGATGAATAGCAACTTTTAAAAGGAAAAGAAGCTCTTGTAGCCCTTCTCTGTATACTCTCAAGCTTATGTATGTGGCCAGATTGATATGGGTACCACGCTGGTACACCATATTCAAGTACGGGACGGACAAGAGTTGTGTAGAGTTTGAGAGTGACAGAAGGATTGTTAAACGGAATTAGACGTTTAATAAAACCAAAAAGACGCAAAGATTTGGTAGTAATAGCATTGACATGATCCCCCCCAGCTAAGGTTAGAAGAAATAGCATTCGCACAACTTCATACCACCCGACGTCTAATGGCTTAGTTGAACGTTTTCATCGTCAATTAAAAGCTTCATTAAAAGCAAAAAATGACCCTGCACATTGGTGTGAACAATTACCACTCGTTTTGCTAAGAATACGTACAGCTGTAAAATCTGATTTCGGCCACAGTGTTGCAGAACGACTATACGGTACTACTCTGTGTTTACCAGGAGAATTTTTCACTAATACAAACCAAGCTACTTTAGACCCTACACACTATATTGATCGTTTGAGACATACGATTCAGGATATAAAACCGTCAATTTCACGTACTCAAACGCGCAAAACATACATACCAAACGATCTGAACACATGCACTCATGTTTTTGTTCGACGAGACTCAGTACCCAAACCCTTAGAGTATCCATACGATGGTACATTCAAGGTTATTTCGCGAACACCAAAACGATTTAAAGTTGATCTCGGAACTCGACAAGACAATGTATCTATTGATCGCTTAAAATGTGCTCATTTGGATATTATCCCTGAACAATCAATGCCCACACAAACTCCATCTTGTAGTACAGCTCCTGAAGCACAACCAAACATTAGAACAACACGCTCGGGATGCCATGTACATTTTCCTAAACCTTTTGTGACTGTCGTTGGAATTTAATTTTTTTTTTCACTACCTTCTCACTAGAAGGGGGCTATTGTAGCATCTATTAATATTGGACTTTTATTTGTAATGTTTAAATTTATAAATTACCAGCATTCATGTACAGTACTGAACTTTATTTCCTGTATTTGTTTTGATCCCATATGAATTTTCAGTATTTCTAACCTATAATGGTAATAACCTTGGTACAGTTATCTAGGCCCAATTTATTAGCCTTGCTAAATACCAGTGACAACTGTGTTTTGGTCATGGCATTGGTATGCACAGGTTAACTTGACCTACCTTTCACTCCCCTTTGATTCAAATTTATAAAAAAAACCTTACTTATAGGTCAGTTGGTTTCCCATTTTCATAGGATAAGCATCACTTTGTTTTCTCTCTCCGAATTTTGATATTTAACTTTGTATTTTCATTTGTTTAATAAATTGCAATATATTCAAAATTAGCTGTTGAGTTTGTGTCATCTATACACTAGTCAACATCTAAATGTCAATTAGAAATTGGCACTTAATAAATGAACACCAAATTATAGGCCTATGTATAACATGTGATGATACATATTTACGTACTGTTAGAGAAGTATTTGTATTCATTTTGAGTGATCTCAAGAGAGAATGCATAGGCCTATTGGATAGCAACTACAAGCTTTTAAATTCTAACACTGTTTACAAAGGTGGAGAGCCGCGGCTCCCATGACATCCCCCTGGATACAACCCTGTTACTAGAATTGCTTACTAGTTTTGGCATATATCGTCAGTGGCACATTTTCCATTCAATAGTCCCCATCCTAACCTGGATTGTCACCAAATTTCAATAAATTCTTCACTGAACCGATGACAAACTATTCTTGAAAGTTTCGTTTCAAACCTTTGTTAATTTTTTGAGATATTTAGGTCTCGGACGTTAGCATTTTAAATGACCCACAAATCCATGCCCCAATCTGGATCATTACCAAAGTTAAATAACTTCGTCCTTGTAACTTGGTTAACTTATCAGAAAGTTTCATTCAGATCAGTTAATTCGTTCTTGCGACATTTAGTGTGGGGTGTTTCCCATGGTCGTATATATCCACAGCCTATTCCGAATAGTTACAAATGGACAAAATTTCAAACAGATTCAACCTTGGAAAGTGACAGTGTCGGGCGATAAAACAGTGAAAAAAGATAGGAAAAACTGTATGGACGGGAAAATAATATTGACAATAATATTGATATGAGGCTTTACTTTTATTCAAGTTTTTCTATGATTTTACCATTAATCTAAACAAAAATACTGTAATGCTATTGAATTATGCACTTGGATTAACATTGATAGCCAGTACACGATACCGTGTATTGAAAGAGAAAACAATATATAACTCAAAAAGATCTTTTTAGTTTCTCGGGATATGGGCCAGAAAACAGAAGTACAGTATGCTAGCTAACGTTGACAGACCTATACAATTTTAAACATAACCTACTTCATAACATATATATGCATGATATATACATACATATATATATATATTTAAAATATTAAAACGAAACAGTAGAGAAAATCAGATCAGAATGACAAAATAAACTCAAATACATGTGTAATCTAATAATAGCTTTGGGGCTAATTCCGACAGCCGTTCGGACGAGTAGAATAAGAACCGTTAAAACCAGTTACTTCTTGTATGTCTTTCCTTCAACCAAGGTCAGACACAAGTTTTTTAGCAATATTTTTGTTGTTACTGTTTAAAACTGTACATAATCTAGCATTTCTGACTTCTTTTGGAGCTTAGTGATTTCTTCACCGTAAAAACAAAACTTTATTACATTCGGCACATGTCCACCGCTAGACGACGCCATGTTGTTGTTGACTGTAAAACAACACGTAAACAAAACTAATTTAAAAGTAGGTATAAAATTATTTTTCTGTTATTGAAATACAAAATATATCTAATTATAATTTTTAAGTTTGTTTTTAAAGCAGTAATACTCACTTAACAAATAATAAACTATGAATTAGAAATACAGTACAACATTTGAACGAATAGAGTGACGTATGTAAAATTGTTGGTCGCTTGCTAGCCTACCATAAAGAACTTTTTTTGTTGTAAGTTTAAGCGTCATTTTCTCGTGCTCTTACTGTCAAACTTTTTTTTTTCTTCTTTTGTCGAACATATATTTTTTTTAAAATACTGTACTGTTTAATTTGTGCGAAATTAGTAACTAATTCAATAGAAAATGAAAAGTAAAAACGTTGTATTCGTTTACATTATAAATAAAATTGAAATTACTCTGCTAACAAATAATAATTCCCATTAGCTACACAAGTTTACAATTGATCAATTCAAAAAAATTCAAAAAAAGAACAGTGACTACTCTTTGTATGCTTAAGAAGTACAAAGGCGTGCTTTTTGAAAGAGGAGGTTTAAAATATTATTGTTTTGTATATGTAACTTTGTATTGACCAGTCATAATAAGAAACCAAATAAAACATCAATATTAAAGATAAATATTATTAAAAAATATTATTTTATTTTGCTCAACAAACTAACAATTTATTCATAAGATCATCTACAAATGCATCACAGGTATTGAATTCCGGAGCTATCATCAAGGTCGATATTTAGAGGCAACTAATATTAATTATCGGTGTCAGTGTCAATTATTGATTGGCAAAAGAAGGATTAAGGCACTCCTTCCGTCCGATAGCCTGCAGGTCACCCTTGGGCAAGGTGTAGTACCTGTTAAGCCTCCCGAGCCAGGGAAACGGTGAAAACGTCGGCAGCAGGGCGTTGGATGGCCAAAAGGCGGAAGAGTCTCTTGCAGACCAACGGCTTGAAGGTCACTACAGCTAAGCGGATGATCCATACATGGACAACGGTTAGGTGTTCACAAAACAAGTTAGCTGTTACTGCGCGGGGGAAGGTAATGGCAACCCACCCCCAACTTTGCCTTATATATTCATGGAATGTCTAAAAGCAAGAAGAAAAATAACAACGTGAAGGACACCGGAAATGGGGTCTCGTTCGGTAGGGAATATCATTCATTGCAGGTGATACCCGATCGTCATCACGCTACTGCAGTAAATATAACAATATCAAACATCTCGACTTGGAATGTAAGAACGATGTATCAAAGTGGAAAAATGGACAATATCTTGAAAGAAATGAGACGGTTAAGCATCAACATCCTGGGTGTGTGCGAAGTGAGATGGCCTGGAGCAGGGAAAGTTATATCAGAAGGGGCCACATTTATATACTTGGGTGGAACAGAAAATAAGCATGAGCATGGAGTGGGTATATTTCTCGATCAAGAAAGTGCTAAAGGTATCGCCGGCGTCTGGTGTATCTCTAACAGAATCATGCTAGTACGACTTCAGTGCAAACCGTTTGATACAGTTGTGATACAATGCTATGCCCCCACAACTGACTGCAACGATGATGAAATAGATAAATTCTATGATCAATTAAAGGAGGCAATGAAACAATGCAGATCTCATGACATAACAATAGTCATGGCAGATTTCAATGCGAAAATTGGACAAAATGAAGAAGGCAAAATTGTTGGAAAGTATGGACTAGGTCAGAGAAACGCACGAGGCGAGAGGTTAGTGGAGTGGTGCATAGAAAACCGAATGATTGTAACAAACACACATTTCAAACACCATTCAAGAAATTTGTATACATGGAAGAGTCCAGGAGATGGCTGCCGGAACCAGATTGACTTTATAATGATAAATGAACGCTTTAGAAACACTGTGAAAAGAGTAAGGACGTATCCAGGTGCTGATTGCAACACTGACCATATATTGCTCAGTGGAAAATTCAAAATGAGGTTAAAGAAAGTTCGTCGAAGAAAGCAGAAAAATGTTACTAATCAATTTCAATTAAAACTTTTGAAAAATGAAAATGATATCAAGAAAAATTTTTGCCAAAATGTTAAAGATCAATATCAAAGAAAGTCACCATCTGAAGATACACGCATGGAAGTTTTTAAAGAATGCAGTGATGAAGGCAGCAGAGCAGTGTATACTGAAAAAGGAGAAGAACTCGGAAAATAAATGGATGACTCGTGAGATACTGGAAAAGATGGAAGAGAAAAGGTTAGCAAAAGGTAATCAAGGAAAGTATAACAAAGTGAATAACGAAATCCGAAAGACGTGTAAAACAGCAAAGGAAGAGTATCTGGAGGCGTGTTGTGCAGAAATTGAAGATCTTGAAAAGAAGGATGTACAAATAATGCATGATAAAGTTAAACAAATTACATACAAAAGAAAGAAAAATCTGACTAGCTGTATTAAAGATGAAGATGGCTTAGTACTGATGGATAAGGTAGGAGTAAAGAAGAGGTGGACTAATTACATAAAGGGTCTCTATGCTAATGATGTTGGGAAAGAAAAACCAGTAATAAGAAAGCCGATGGAGGGAAGAGCAATAACATCAACCCATTCACCCACTTCTCCATTTAATCTGATGGCAGCTTTCTGATCCCAATACAAGTTTCTAATCAGCCTTAGATCTTTCCCATCAATGGAGCATGGAGCACGCGCAGCAGCATCTATGCCTTGCCTATGCATCGTTACAGTGTAACCTGCTGTAACGATGCATAGGCAAGGCATAGATCATAAATCTCAGCCACTAAATCCTGGTACTGTATGTGGATGTGTGCTCCACAAAACAATAGGCCTATCCTTTAAGTACAGTAATGCAGCGATACAAAATAAATACAAAAAAACAAAATATTTACATTACCAATATTTTTTACGGTACATCAATGGTGGACAATTTTGTCGTATTAACTGATTCTTTGCTCTACATTTTTCTAAAAATAAAAACCAGCAAAATTTTGCCCCGGCTCATTGTTCTTATTTTTTGCCAATTACAGGCTCAAAACACATTTTTAAGTTCGATTATATAATGGTGATGTGATGATTATGAATATTACTATATAAAGTGTCATTTCCAGCCATCTAGAGGTACTATTTCCTCAAACTTTCTCACGTCAGCCCCAACCATGACGGCAGTGGGGCTGCAGTGGTTGTGAAATCATGCTTTAGTAGTAGGCCTATGTAAAGACTACATCAAAGACAATGTTTTAGGCTTTGTATCCTATGGTACAACACACACATATTAATAAGATCCCTATGGTTACTGATAATCCCTGATAAAAGAACCATGAGTTTCCATCCTCCTTTACCAAAATTTGCCTCTTGCAACCAGGGTGTAGTGTCTTTGAGCTAATTACAAGCTCCACAGGATATCAGATAAATGTTAAGTAATTAGATAAACAGAATCAATTTTCTCTGGCAGACATTAAACTGGAACTACTTTCACAATACTCCATGCTCACAAACACAAATGTTTAACAGAAATAATAAAATAAAATGCAACAATATCATCCGGTTTTTGTTATAATTTATTAGAAAAAAATTCAAGGTGTTGTTAAACAGTTTTTTTCTACAGCTTCAAAAACCGCTTGGAAAGCCAAAACTTTGACTGAAACAGGCTATAGCAGACACTAAATTTCATGTACGTCGTCAAACCAAGGAAATTGGTGGTTCATAAAACAGATTTGTTTGTACAATAACCTTTTATAATAGGCATGCAGTACGTACGATTTGTGTACAATCGTCTTGACTTTCTCGCCTAGTCGTTTCGTAGGCTAGGCCTAGGAGGAATGACACTAGGCCTAGGCCTAGTCAACAAAGGCCTACAATATCGCCAAATTGAAGCCACGTGGATCGCGTAGATGCTTGACTAAATCTATTATTTGTCTTCATTTTACAGTATTATTGTCATATTTCAAATGTTGTTTATTATCTAAAAACAACATAATTGTAGGCCTAATCCTACCGTCCGTTTAAACGCAATCACGATCATATCGTGAGTCGTGACTTCACTACTAACAAGTACATGTGGGAAATCCCTGATTGATCATTCTGGGCATGCGCATGGACATGCATGGATATGTAAGTTCGAGCGTTCGAGAAAATCGTAGTTAATACTATAGGCCTAGGTAGTAAACAATTGCCGAGGCTGCCGACCTCTGAGAATTTAAGGTCGGTAAATTTTTGCCGACCTAATTTTTTTCATCTCTCTCAGTACTGTCAACCACTGTTTACAAATTTACAAAATATGACGACACGATCAAACCAAGCGCTCTTTTATTATTTACTGCTGAAGTTTTTCTGTCATTACGCTGGCAAAATAGTTCCCAATTACCGTTGTATTATTTTTATTTACAACAAACAATTATATATTAAACGATTCGTACATTTAAAGTAGTTTCTAAATATTTTACACACTAATTTTCATCAATAAAAATATTACTAATAAATGGATTCAAAGTGAATCACGTTCAAATCAATATATTCATCCGCCTTTTTCAGAAACTTCATGTCGTCGTACGATGGCGCCTATACCAAGTTGGCCTAGGCTAGGCCCAGTAATAGCCCTGTACTTTTGTATCTTCTTTTGTAACTTCTCGTAAAAGGGCTCATTTTTTACGATTCGAACTCGTAGGTAGGACAGTTTTTTCTGCTAAAGACAAATGTTAACATATTTCATACGATTTTCAACAAAATAGATTTTTTTTTTCTTTTTATAGTAAACTCAGTAGGAATTGATTGTTATTGCTATGGCAGCACCCCTCTGAGATAATGACTTTTCCAGCCGCGATAGCCCTTCATGTACCGCGGTCTAGCCTTCCTGATAATTAGAGTATAATTAGCTATGATAAGAGACCCTGGTTTGATTTCCCGAGTTTTCGTGGATAAGTCGGGTTTTGTGGTAAAGGAGAATGGAACAGCATGACTAAAAAAAATGTTGATGAATTTTACTAAAAGTGTCCTGCCCATCTAGAGGTACGATTTATCATATAAATCGTTTACTAATCCTACTAACCCAAATGATGTTAATGAATATACTGATAAATTTGAATTTGACATCATTACTCCTGATTATGTTTTTGACCTAATTAATAGTTTTTAAAATAACAAAGCTTAGGCCTTGATGGATTTGACGTTAAACCTTTAAAATTAGCTGGGCCTATTATTTGTCACTCAATTACTTATATTATCAACTTATCATTTATTACAGCTAAATTTCCATCTGAATGGAAAAAAGCTAAAGTTACTCCGATTTTCAAAGACAGAGTTAAATCTAATGCTGAAAATTACAGACCTATTTCTGTTTTGCCTATTGTTTCTAAGATTATTGAAAAAATGGTTCATAACAAACTTTATCAACACAGAATAACTTGTTAAACTCTTGCCAATCTGGTTTCAAACGTAATCATTCAACTAATACCACACTCACTGATTTTTCTGAATACATTTTAAATAAGGTTAACAAGGGTAATGTCACAGCTGCTATTTTTTTAGACTTGTAAAAAGCCTTTGATACCATCAATCACAAACTATACGTTACAATGTATTGGTATCATTCGTAGATTAAGATATTCCATTCCTAATTATGCTTTAAGACTGCTTGCTAATGCAATTGTACTTCCTTGTTTTGATTATTGTAGTAATGTTTGGTCAAATTGTAGTTCTGAAAATATTAATCGTATACAAATTCTCCAAAATAGACTTGCTAGAATCCTTCTTTATGCTGATATGTACACCCCTATTACCGAACTAACGTCCATGTTAAATTGGAAATGTGTTCATGATAAATGGGAAAACGATATTAAAATTATGGTTTTTAAATGTCTACAGGGGTCTGCCCCATTATATTTATCAAATTCCACTTCATGGACACACTTCACCCAAAAAATACTAGAAGCCAATCCACAAACACACTGATAATTCCAACATGGAAAAATACTCATAGGAAGAGAACCTTCCTGGAAGGCTCTGGAATGACCTTCCAGTTGATGTTCGTAAACATTTCCAAACAATTAATTAAGTTGATTTTTAAACCTTTTAATTTCTTTGGTGCATAGCATTTTTATTGTTTTTACCTCTTTCTTCTTTAATCTGTTATATTTTTTTTTTTTTTACTTAATCTAGACCTCTTGGGAGACCAGTACATCAATTGTATTGAAATGAGCTTTCCAGAATAAAGAAAGATTTGTATTGTATTGAATTGTATAGAGTCCCCAGTGGTCGTCTTAGAAATAATCCCACTTTTCATATTCTCTTTAGTAGACTTAACATGCTTAAAAATGTTTTTATTAGTAGATTAAGCTTAGCTTATAATTCTCTTTTTTTAAGGAATCCTGATATTGATATTTTTAGTGATAATTTCTCTATGTTCGAAAGGTCCACTGATTAATCTCAGATAAGAAAGTATAATACATAATCCAAGTATTAAAATACACGCCATCGTGTTGGGATTCAATATTTCGACATTAATTATGTCATCATCAGGAATCATTCCTGATGATGACATCAATATTTCGACATTAATTATGTCATCATCAGAAATCATTCCTGATGATGACATAATTAATGTCGAAATATTGAATCCCAACACGATAGCGTGTATTTCAATACTTGGAGTATGTATTATACTTTTTTCTCTATGTACCGTAACAAAGTTAGAAACATTTTACATATTAGGCCCACTTAATCTGATATTATTATCACATTGTTAATATTATTATTATTAGTAGTACTATATTATTTTTAGTATATAATTTTGTTTTTGCATTCTTCACGTCTACTATATTTATGTATCCGTTTGATGTTTGTGTTCCCTCCTGTAAGTGGCGAATTTTATGTTTGCTGTTGGCTGGATAATAAATAAATAAATAAATAAGAACCCCTCGATTTTCATCTATTTCCATAAACGCCCCGTCAATTTCCACTCTGTTTTGATAAGAGCCCCGTTCGAATAAGCACCCTGTTCGAATAAGCACCCCACAAAAAGTGCAAAAAAAAATATTTTAAGGGCTCTGGCGAATATTCGCGCGAGTACGGTACTCATTTGAGCGTATCTCACTTATCTTTAATCGATCGTCTCATAACTTTGAGTATGTTATAGCTGCGACAATTCTTAAAAATGTGACTTTTTTACATTTTGATGATGTCATCATGGTCAAAATAAATGCTTTTTC